CAAGGCAGGGAGTACTGATATCATGAGACACGTATTTTCAAACCTGTTGGGTTTCAGAATCTTTGTATCAGTTTATATCATCATGTAACCCTGCAGTACCCCCAGTTTGTAAATTATTTAATAGACAAAGAGGACACTTTCTATTTATTATGTCCTCCATGAAAAAGACGTTGTGGTATTTCAGGACTTCTCTTCCCCCGCTACAAGTTCAGCTTGTGGAGTCTGGAGTCTGAACAGTTCCGCTCTGTGGCTCAGATCGAGCTGGGCCTCAGCCTCCTCATCGGTATAGTGGAGAGAATAGTAATAATTTCTCATAGGATGTGATGAGGATTAAATGCGTTATATGTGCAAGATGCTTAGAACAGAAACATTTGATAAATCTTAACTTGATGTTTGCTTGAATAAAATATATTCTGTCCCCTTGGTGAGAGGAAAGGGTACAGATTTTAGTTTCTTTCTTTCTTTCTTTTTTTAAGAGAGATTTTTGCTGTAGGGTGCATGCATTCTCCAGAGAGACAGAGAAAGCGAGAAGTTACCCCCCTCCCCCCCAGAGGGGTGGCCATACCACAGTCCCTTCTCCTTCATTCTCCTCTCAGGACTTTGGGCATGCACACACACATGCCTGGTGTGAGTTTAAGCCCCCAGGTCTGAGACTCGAACTGTGGTTGACTACATGGAAGTCCAGTGATGTAACCATTATGTCATCTCCTGGTCCCCAGATTTTAGCTTCTTTACTTGAAATTTAATTCCTATTGTGTCAACAGATGGCATAGAGGTAGATCCCACATAGCTGAGTCTGAGGTTCAAGTCCTGGACCTGGTGGCTTGAAAATCACACGGGGCACATGTGCAAGCATGGCCTAAATGCCAAGAGGAGGATGGAGGAGAAGGAATTACTGCATGTCTGTCCCCTCTGAGGGGCGATTTCTCATGTTTTCTCTGTCTCTCTTTCCACTGAGCACATGTGCCTTAAAGCAAAAACTAAAAGAAAATAGTAAAAATAAACAATTTAATTCCTATCTTTCATTTGGTCTATAATTAGAATCTTGCATTTTTCTATGAGCCATGGATAGATATCCACATGCCTATGACATGTTAAAGAAACAGTTAATCAGATAAGATATTTTTTTCTTTTTTTACAGATGTACTTGTATTTAGGAAGTTATGAATTACCAATTTTTTAAAAAAAATTAAAAATAATAAACCTTGGGCTGGCTCTGTGGCTTAATGGTTACTGTGGCCAAGTTCCCTCATGGCTGACCATATGGTTTGAGTCCCCAGTCTTTTTTTTTTTTTTTTTTTTTTTGGAGTGTTTTGCTCTGGGTGTGTGCTTGCCAGACAGACAGATAGAGACATTAGAGACAGAAAGTGAGAAATCACCCCCCAGGGGGGAAGGTCACGCCGCAATCCCTTCTCCTTCATTCTCCTCTCGGGATCTTGGGCACGCACGCACACGCGCCCGGCGTGAGTTTTAAGCCACTGGGTCCGGGACGCGAACTGCGGTCGACTATGTGGGAGTCCAGCGACATAGCCATTACACTAACTGCTGGTTCCCGAGTCCCCAGTCTTGAGAAACACGTCAGGCACGTGTGCATGTGCACCCAGAGTCTGGACAGGAGGGAGAAATGGAGACGGGATTGCAGAGTGACCATTTCCCATGGGCGATACTTTCTCCTCTTTCTCTCTCTGTCTCTGATGAGCACATGAGCCCTCTAGCAAAAAAACAAAAAGCCTTAGTGTTGTCATAAAATAAAGTGGGCATAATAAAGTGTGCGCTATTTTAGTTCTCCAGGCCATTCAAATATAAAGCATCATTACTACTCCTTTTTTTTTTTCTTTTCATTTGCCAGAGGCCATGTGCACTTAGAGAGAGAGAAAGCACCCTCTGTGGGACATGGTCAGACTGCAATCCCTTCTCCTCTCTCTCTCCCTTCTTTCAGGATCTGGGCTCACATGCACATGTACCTCGTGTCATTTTTCGGGTCCTGGACTCTAACTGTGTGGTTGGCCATGTGGGAGTCCAGCCACCTTAACCTCCAGGCTGCAGGCTGACCCCTATTACTCTTAGTTTTGTTAACACGTGTAGGGTAGGGCAGGGCACTAGAATACCACAGAGAAGGCTCTCTCTTTGGAAAAGCCGCACCCAATCTGACTAATGGGAATGGGGACAGGATGGAGTCTGAAACGTAGTGTTATTTTATGGAGTTTTACTTTTTCCAGTAAAAGATCCAGCTAGCTTCCCCAGGGACTGCTTTATACGGCAGTGTGATTCTCTGGCTACCTTCTGTCCATCTCTTTTTTATAGTTTGAGCTTTCAGTGAGGTTTGGAGAGAAGGACCAGGAATGTGCCTGGCACAGCTCCAGCTGCATTATTTTGGTTTAAAGGGGAAGTGGGGGGAGGGGGGAGGACTTCTGGAACTCTTGTCACTGACCCTTGCCTCTTCTCTCCCTTCCAGGCGCTCAGATTGACGACAACATTCCCCGTCGCACCACCCAGCGCATCGTGGCTCCCCCTGGTGGCCGTGCCAACATCACCAGCCTGGGCTAGAGCTCCTGGGCCACGCAGTCCACTTGGGGTGGGGGATGGGACACTTGAGGACATTCTGAGACTTCCTTCCTTCCTTCCTTTTTTTTTTTTTTTTTTTTTAAGAGCCTGTGATAGTTACTGTGGGGCAGCCAGTTCTTGGGGCCCCTTGTTGGGCCCCACACTTCTCCACCTCTCACCTGGAGTTACTGATTCTGCTCACCCACATCCCTACACTTGTACTGATAACACACCCACGTTTGTTCACCGTCCCCATCCACGGAACTGCATCCAACACTCAGACATGCGAAACAAAGCAAATCACGAGGGTGTTCTTCATCACGAACTCTCCTGTATGACTAGCATCTTCCTTTTCACTGGGGGAAGATAGAGTGAATTGCCCAGAGCTGCCTTTATCTTTTCTTTTAAAATTTTCCAAAATGTTTTCTTTGTGGGGTTGGGGAGGGATTGGGGGTGGGGGAGAGGTGGTTTTTTGTTTTTGTTTTTGTTTTTTTTAAATACTAAATTGGAAAGTCTAACTTAATATTAATATAAGGGGTTTGAACTGGACATCCTAATGATGCAATTACGTAACCATCAAGTTGATTCGGGTGGTTGGCAAACTCATCGCGTCTGTCCTGGGAGGCTCCACATCCCATTCCATAGTCTTCTGAGTCAATTGTGGATCAAGGGCAGGTTTTCTTTTGTGGCCTAGATTTTGCTGCCGATGAAATCGTTTGAGGATTCTCTTTTCCTCTCTTTACTATTTTCTGCATGTTCTTTCACTCTCTCTTTCTCTCTTCTCCCACCCCCAACTCTTTCATTCACAAATACTTCCAAGTATGTGTTTCTTGGTGTTTCCTCTAGTCCTGATACCTGAGATCTCCTTTTTCTCTCCTTCCTCCACTAGCTTCTGAAATCTCCAGGTCTACCATTACACTGTGGTCTTAGAACCTGCCTAGAAGGATTGGAACGTCTCCATCACTGTCATAGTAATACGTCACCCTAGTCCATGTAAGACTGGTGCTATCCACCTGCCATTACGAGAATATACGTTTGAGTGTAGACACGTGCCAGGTGCAGGGACAGGATGTGTTACCTCACCCACACGATCACAACATGGGCTCAGAGTGGAACCACAAACAGCGCCAAGGTGTCAAAAAACCTGAGGCTGCAGAACGTGAGGGTTTTATTTATTAAATTTTTTTTTCTGTGCAGTGAAAGCTAATTGGCTAAAGACTCATTCAGCCCTGTAAATCAAGCCCCAGTAACCGAAGCCAACCAACCCCAATCTTCAGCTCAAAAGTGCTAAGTTGTGGGAGTGTGGCCCTAACAGCCTGCTGTTTTCAGGTTAAGTATCTTTTGAGATTCCAGAATACACTGGGGCTTCTTTCTTTGCAGGGGGAAGGAATAAATAAAACACCCACCTATTTTTTTTTTTTCTCATCTGATTATTTTAAAAGATGTCATGCAATATAGGGAGGCCTTATAAACTCAGAACATCCTTCAGAAATTTGACTTAAAGTCCATTTTACTTGGAAGAGAAAAAAAATACCTGTTTTCAGAACAACACGTCACATAGAGCTATTATGGGGGGACTTTACAAGTTAAATGTGTGACCCCCTTAGAGACCACAGTGATCCCACATCTGCATTCCACTTCTCATGTCTCAGTGACCCTCTCCCACTAGCTGGCTCTTCTGTGCCCGTCTCTGTCCCAGCTCAACTAGTGTTGCATTTCTTCCCCGATGTGTTGACAGTTTCTCTTAAGCAATGTCGTGCTTGCAGGCTTTTATAAAACCAAATCTGCTTGTGTGAGGCATAACATCCCAAAGTAGGTCATTACATCCTCACATTCTTCTTTCCACATGTTTTGCCTTTGTGGTTCTGGTTGGGGTTTTGGTTTTATTGTTGTTGTTTATTTGTTATTTTAAAGGTAAATTGCACTTTTAAAAAAAATAATTGGTGGACTTTAATATATTTGCTTTTTCTTCTCATCTGCACTTAGAGGAAATTTGAACAAGTTGGAAAACAAAAATTTTTTGTTTCAATTCTAAGAAACACTTGCAGCTCTTTCGTATTCACTTGAGTCTTCCTGTTTTTCCCTGTATCAGGTCATGGTAATTTGGGTTGTTTTTTGATTGTTTTTCTTACAAAACAGTTTGAAACCTGAAGATTTCTGCAGGCTGTGTAAGCATGTTTACCCGTTGGCTTGCTTTGTGTGTCTGTTAAATGAATGTCATATGTAAATTCTAAAATAAATTGACAGTGTCTCAGAACTGAATAACTGCAGTGACTTGATGCTCTAAAACAGTGTAGGATTTAATAATAGATGGTTTTTAATCCTTGAAATTGTGATTGTGACCCACGAGTGGAGGAGCTTTCAGTGCTAAAGCTGATATGTGTAGCCAGAAGAGTACGTTTGTGTTTTATTTTGTTTTGTTTTTGTTTTTTTGTTTTTTTTTTTGTAACCACTGTCTTAATGGCAAAATAATTATGGTAAAAATACAAGTCTCGTGTTTATTATTCCTTCAGAACTCTGTGTTATATTACCATGGAACGCCTAATAAAGCAAAACGTGGTTGTTTCAGGGGTGTGTTTGTATCAAGACGTTCCGCTGCTCAGCCTGGGCCTCCAGCCAACTTCCTCTCCAGAAGCATGTGCAGAGCCCTGGGCTTCGTGCCAGTGACTGTACCCATTTAAGAGTGTTCACTCTGTGTCACAAGTTGCTCTGTCCTGGCCACAGGGAAAGATCTATGCCAAGGAAAGCTACATTCTGCAGGCATATGGCAAGATGAGTGTCAAAAATCCATAGGCTCCATTCTAGAAAGGCCACAAAAAGGCTGGTCTCATAGCCTCGTGGTTAAAGGAGCTGGAACCCACATGGCCAACCACAGTTTGAATCCTGGCCCTGGAGGTTTGAAAAACACACTGCAGTATGTGCATGCGTGCCCCAAATCCCAATAGAAGAGAAATGGAGAAGGGATTGCAATGTGACCATTCTCTATTGGGTGGTGCTTTCTCTCTGTCTGTGTCTCTTTGGTGAGCACACTTACCCTTGGGTATATACCCTTTGTACACATATGCTCTTTTTATATAGCTCTGTTTTTCTAATCTATATATGACTGGCTACAAGAGTATCCAAAGTCAAGCTGTAAACATAATTTGAAACTGGGAATCTGATGATCTGGTGGGACCCTATAGGTTAGTGTGGCAACCCTTCTGGCTCGCTGTCTTCAGCTTGTTTACCCTGGAAGATCCTCAATCATGAAAGTAAGACACTAAGGTGTGTTGACTTATACCCTACCATAGTCAGGGAACTTGCAGGAACCCAGGATGTAAAGTGCATGGTCTATCTTCAACCAAATGTCAAGAGTGAACATTGCGGGCCAGCCTCATGGTGCACTAGGCACTGCACAGAGAAAGCCAGACCCCACGTGACTGACAGGGGTTTGAGTCCTGGCCCTGTGGGCCTGGAAACCATGTTGGGTGCACCCCCACCTTGGATCCTCTTGGAAGAAAAAAGGATCATGATGACTAGGACCCATTGGAAGGTTCTTTTTTTGGCATGAAAACCAAAAATGCACACTGGGGACAAGAGTCATCCAGAAAACTGGAGGCTTCCTTTTGAGTTACCCTGTAACTGGCCCTGGGATTACTCTGAAAACAATGGGTAAGAGGGTGTGTGCTCCGGGCAGTTCATGAAGTCATTTTTAAATTCCTTTCCATCTCTGTTTATTCCCGCCATTTTTGTTTCTGTCCAGCCCTGGCCAAACAGGATATGAGGCAACTTATAAAAATACATACATGCTATCAGGTTTTCGTAAACAGTGTTTGGATGAAGAGAAAATAGGAAAAACAAGATAAGGTCCTAGTGCTGTTGGTACAAACCAGCTGCCATGAGGCTGCAAACTTGTTAGGGAGCTCTGCGTGTTTTAGAAACAGCAACAACAAGAATGGCCAGTTAGAACACATAGTGACCAGAAGATTAGAAAAATTAAGTCCTTCAGAAGAAATCCAATGTCTCCTGGTCCTCAGAAAAGGGAGAAGTCTGGGTCCTTCCAGAAGACACAGTGTCTGGTGGGCATCTCAGATGGGTTCTCATCCTGCCCTTCACTGAATGTGATGGCAGAGAACCACCATCTGGTAAAGTCAAATCTGTCCAGGAGGGGGACAAAAAGTCTCACCCAACATTAATAGGACTTGTGACAAGAATTAAAATGGAAACTCCAGGCCCAAGGCCATCCTATTCCCATCCTGGCTTCAGCTCACACCAGGACAGGTTCCATACCCTCACCTGTGGACCCAGCCTACATCTCCAGGCTCTGTCCGACCCTTAGCAACAGCTGCCCATGGAGGTCTGCCCTCCCAAGGAGGGACCCAACAGAGAGGCCCATGTAGGTGCTAGGAGTAGGCTGGGACCACATGGAAGGCCCAAGTTCCAGAGTCCCACCTAAAGGCTAGCTGTGGTGATGCATGGCGAGACGGGCATCACTGCAGAGAGACACTGTCTTAGAAGAACTTTTAAAAAGTCCATTTAAATGGAATTGCAGGACCCAGGTGCCAAAGCTGGCTTGGAAGGGACAGCCTAGACTCGAGGAATGTTTCGTTCACCTTCAGAAACTACTGACCCCATGGTGAGATGGAGTCAGAGACTGACTAGGTCACTGAAGATGCCATCGGGCACCCAGCAGCACATGCTAAACAAGGGGCCAGCTATGTAACTCTTTGTTGCTGTGGTTTACTCCAAAGACAAGTGTTGGAGTATCTAGAAAAAGTAGTTGAGGACCGGCAGGTGGTGTGATAAGGGCTCTGGACTTGCACAGGGCTGACTGTGGTTCAAGTCCCAGAACTGGTGGCTTGGTTTCTCACTTTCCTGCTCTTGCTCTCACTCTCTTACTCTGTCTTTCTCTGGTCAAATTTAAATAAATAAATACAGTTAAAAAAAATGATCAACCTAAAAAAAAAAAAAAGGAAAAGGTGGAATGCATGTCTTTCAGGAACTGTTCATATCTTGCCGTTCTCTGGCAAGTTTTGGTAGCACATTCTCTAAGAAAAGGCAGATCCATTCTTTCTCCTGTCAACTGAAACGGGGCTAAGTCCTGACGGAGCTACTTGTTAGATACACGGCTTTGAAAGTCGTGCGACTTCAGTAGGTCTAATTGACCCTTTCTGTAAGATAAGAGATGATGTCGTCTTCCTAAACTCGCTCTCAGTTCAGGACCCAGGGATTAATTTAACTCCCAGCTTTATTACCAGTTTTCCTTGCCCTTTGGTAAAGGACAGTCCCTAAATGGGGTATGGGCAGAGTCGAGGATTGCAGAGGAACAATAGGACACTGATGGAAACTCCTAATCTCTCCTTTGAAGATAGAGTATGAAGACTGCTGATTGCAAAGGTCTTTGGTTGACTACTGAGATGCAGGACTTCAAGACAGCAGCAACGGTGTCAAAACGATCTGTTGGAGTCAGAGTGATAATAACTAACATTCATTGTATGCCAGGCACAGTTCTATATGGGCTTAATCACTCCATTAGTCTTCACGTCAACCCACGAAGACAGTACCATTGTTTTTCTTTGTACAGATGAGACAGAAACAGGAGTGGAAGAACTTGCTTAGAGCCAGACTTCGAATCTCTACAGCCTGGGGCCAGTGGTTATGCTTTCAATTATAATTATTCCATGATTTCTTCTTTTTTTCTTTTTTAAAGGTTGGTTTATTTATTTACTCACTCATTTATTAATTTATTTTAATTTGATCAGAGAGAAGTACACACAGAGAGAGAGAGAGGAAAGTGAGAAAGCAAGCTACCAGCTCCAGGACTTGAACCGTGGTTGGCCATGGGGGAGTGTTCAGCGCCTTAACCACCACGCCACCTGCTGGTCCCCCATGAAATAGTGCAGGTAAAAGAGGGAGAGAAAGTGCTAGAAAATAAGACTGTGTGAGTAATTGGGCAGGCTCAGGGAGGAAGAATGTGGGCAAGTGAGAGCTTTTCAGAATGAGGACACCTCCGGGGCTAGCAGGTAGCATGGTAGTTAACGACATTGGACCCACATGGTTGACCACAGTTTGAGACCCGGACCTGGTGGCTTGTTGTCTCTTTCTCTCTCTCACTCTGTCCCTTTCTGGTCAAATTTAAATAAATAAATAAAGTTAAATAAAGTAATTCTGTAAAAAAATAGTAAAAAATACACAAAAAAAACCTGGAGAAAAGTCGCCTAAAGGAGGATTAAAAATTGTAAAGAAAAACAGTAAAATTTTGGTAAAGTTTTTTCATTGTTATTATTTTTTAAAATTTGTTGTAGAGCATGTGGACTCACCAGAGAGAGGGAGGGAGGGAAAGTGAGGAAGCAAGCTACCAGATCCAGGACTTGAACTGTGGTTGGTCGCGTGGGAGTTTTAGTTTTTTGTGTGGAAAAAATGACGTGTGTATAACACCCAAAATGCGTATATATACAAAATTAATTTTTATGAGGATATCCAAGGAGTAAATAAAATGTCTATGAAAATACTATGGAAAGGCATTATTTAGATGTGTACTGCATTGTTTTATTAGGATTAGATGTTAGGAGAGGGCAGGTGTAGACAGGAAGACAACAGACAGGGTGTGCTCTTAGATTCTTCCTGAAGCTGTGAGGAAGCTTCCACCTAGGGCTACCACCCAGGGCCAGACATAATCTGAGGCGCTGGCAAAACAATGGGAGGATGGATGAAGGGCAAACACTGACTTATTGATGGGGAGGCCAGCAGGTGGTGTGACTAAGGGTGCTGGACTCCAACATGGCCGATTGTGGTTCGGGTCCTAGACCGGGTGGCTTGCTTTCTCACTTTCCTTCTGTCTCTCTCTCACTCTGTCCCTCTCTGGTCAAAATAAATAAATAAATAAATAAATAAATAAATAAATAAATAAATAAAATGAATTTAAATAAAATAATTCTTTAAAGAATCTAAAAAAAAAGATTTGATGGGTTCATTGGGACTGGCAGATAGTGTAGCAGTTATGTTGCTGGATTCCCACATGGACAACTGCAGTTAAAGTCCCAGACCCAGTAGCTTAAAAATCACAATGGGTACATGTGTGCGCGTGCCCAAGATCTTGGGAGGAGAATGGAGAAGGGATTGCAGTGTGGCCATCCCTCGGGGGGTGGGGGGTGATTTCTCACTTTCCCTCTCACTGTCTCTATGTCTCTCTCTCTCTCTATTGTGAGCACATACACCCTAAGGCAAAAACCTTAAAATAAAAAGCTTTTATGGGTTCAAATAATTTATGACATTGAG